GGAACTATTAAGAGGTAAACAAGCAACCCTAAGATCGAGTTTGGATCTAACAAAAACCTAGGCTCGGTCTAATTAAGACCGAGCCTAAGATATAACAGATCCGACCCGACCCGACCCTCATACATTTATTTATTTATTTATTAATACATAAAATAGTAATATTCATTAATGAATAAATACCTGGTGAGATAAACCTACTTCAAATTCACATAACATGGGGTTTGAAGAAGCAAGCTTCATGGAAAGGAACTGAAAAATAAATTTAACTCAAATTAATTATTTGTATTTTAGAATAAAAATATTTAAGTAATTTACAAATTTGGCCCCTGTGGTTTGTCCAGATTTTACGTCACTACAGTTTTGAAATTAATAGATGATCATCGTTGTTTGTGAAAATGTTGGTATTTGTCTCTAACGACTGTTAAAGATTCCGTTAACATTTTCGTCCTTTTATCGAGTTTTTTTTTTTTGTCTTTTACCCAATCAAAACTACAAGAACGTTTAACCAATTTTGATTGGCTAAAATAGAAAGAAAACAAAAACCGAAATGTCTTCATTTAACGGTCATTAGAGGGAGGGATCAAATATGAATGTTTTTGCAAACTATGATGGCCATGTTCTAATTTCAAAATTGTAAGAACGGAAAGTTTTATCTTCGACAAACCATAGGGACCAAATTCGAATGTTTTTGCAAACAATAATGGCTATCTTGTAATTTTGAAATTACAGGAACTAAAAGTGTTACTTTCAATGAACCATAAGGACCAAATTTGTAGTTTACTTAAAACAATTAATAATTTTTAAGATAATTAAAATAGGGTTGGGTTGCGGTGGGAAGAGAGGTTATGATGAAAAGTGTAAGAAAGATTATCCACCTTTGAATCAATACTAATTGATTATCGACAATAATGAGGTGCACCGAGATGCACCACATCAATTCTCTTATAAATCACAATTCATGGGTGGACATGAGATTAAAAATGATCAAATGTTCATATTTCTTTTTACGCTTCTCACCATAACTTTCCTTCTCACACGATTATTCACCAATTAGAATATTACTATATATCAAAATTTTAAATAGTGTTGTGTTCTCGTGAGAATGAAAGTTATAGTAAGAAGCATAAGAAAATATCTCCACCATTTGATCAAACCTAATTGAATGCCAACATTAAGGAGGTGTACTCGGATCAATTCTCTTCTAAAGCACAATTCATGAATGAACATGTGATTAAAAGTAATCAAGGGTTCAAATATATTCTTACGCTTCTCACAGTATCTTCCTTTCTCACACGATACTTCGGCACTTAAAATAACAATACTTATTATACTTTGCTTTAGCTTTAGCAAACACTATTTTATATGTAAAATTTAATATATATAAATATATATATATACACGCACACACCCGTTGATTCCAGGGACGGACCTAGAAATTTTTTCAAACGGTGGCACCATATAATTAATATAGTATAATATACATCTAAAAATAATTACAAAAATTATGGTCTTTATAATACCAATAAACAACTCCTAAACTTGTACCCGACGCGTCTTCATCTTTTGAAAACGGTCAATATATACCAAAAAATAATTACAAAAAGTATGGTTTTGGTTATTTGGGCTTTGTTTTGTTTGGGTTTTAGTTGCACCATTTGGATTTCAGGGAAATACTGTATTACCTTCTAAAACGATACGGTAGCAACGTTAACAAACCTAAATTTTTTACCCTTCGACCGTGAAATAATACGGTGGCACGTGCCACCCATGCCACCACACCAGGTCCGCTCATGGTTGATTCAAACAAAAAGTCAATTGCCGTCATTATATAACAAAAGAAAACTAATATGTGAATCACTGAAAAAATTCATTTAAAAATATATATGTGAATCCATATGAATAATCTGTAATGTTGATTCACATATGAATCTTCAAATAAAAGCATTTGTTGGATTTTTTCAATGAATAAAAAGCAAAAGGGTTCCACCGCCACCGTACACCGACATGGTTGGGGTAGCAGTGACAGAGATATAAGGAGACCGATTGGAAATGATTGATAAAGTTGTACGGCATAAATTATTGATATGTAATTTTTTTTTAATAAAACTTAATACTCATTAAAAATGAAATCTCATTAAAAAAAAAGGTAAATTGCATGAAAAAGTAACGTATTTTAACTTGATTTATATTTTGAGTAACGTACTTTCAAAACTTACATTTTGGTACTCAAGATGTAAAGTTTCAAATATTTGAGTACTCGGGTAACCAGTTGAAGCATTAACTGATTATCATTCTGATGTGACGAGAGATATGGTATCCAACTTAGTATTATTTGTTGACATGATTAGTGACATGAATTCTTTTTAATCTAAAATTTCTTTAATCAGTTATCCAGGTACTTAAATGTTTAAAACTTTACATCTTAGGTATCAAAATAGAAGTTTTGAAAATACGTTATCCAAAACGGAAATCAAGTTACAATACGTTACTTTTTCATGCAATTTGTCCAAAAAAAAAAACTAAAAATGGAATAAAAAAGAGCATGCTACAAATGTGGTTCCTATGGTTTTGGAAAATAACACTTTTCTTTTTTAAAATTACAAGATAAACATCGTGGTTTATAAAACCGTTCGAATTTGGTCCCTCTTTCTAACACTCTTTAAAAATATTTCGTTAATTGAGTAGCATTTTTGTGCTTTTATCGATTTTTTGAACTTTACCCTATCAAAATCGATTTTACAGTTTTGGTCTTTATGGTTTTTGATCGGGTAAAAGATAAAAAAAATGATAAATAACAAAAACGCCTCTTATTTAACGAAATCTTTTAAACGACAATTATAAGAAGAAACTAAACTCTTACGTTTTTACAAATCAAGATAACCCATCTTGTGATTTCAATAGAACTAAGAAGTTGTTTGATAGTTGCTGAATGGTTTAACGCAAAATAATTAAAAGACTCTCATGATATAGTGCAAAATGAAATATAACTATTGGGTAATTGTTTACAATGAAATTAGGCAGCTAAATGATTAAGGGATGCCCAAGATACAAAATCATTCAGAGAGTTTTAGAACCATTAAAAAAATATTTTTTTTATCAAATAAGATTCACCTCTTAACGATTTAAAGACTATCATTTAATAAAACTATTAATAAGTAAATAAACAACCTTAATTTACTCAAGAGAAAAGTAATCATACCTCAACTTGATTTTGTAGAGAGTGGACATAATTAATAATTTGGTCCAACATAAGGGTCTTTGCTGTAACCTGTGATGAATCAAACCCACATGATTTTGTCAGAAATTTATCATTTAATTTAATTCTATATTTTAATTTTATTTTTTTAAATTAAATATTCTTTTATAATAAATATTTTTTAGGTATAAATTCATATCAGCTTAGATATTCAATCTGCTATGTGAGTCGACCAATTTTAAAGTGGCTACCTATGAATGTTTCACAGGTAGCCCGGAGTCCACGCATTTTAATTTCGTGACCACAAGAGAATTTTTATTTCTTCTTGAATTCAAACCTGTAACTTTCAAACACTTTTGATCTTTAGAGTCCAAACTCAAACCAATCAAACACTGATTTATACCATTTTGCAATCACAAGCATTTGGAATTGGATGATATAGAATATTTGGTTTGTTTAATTTAAAATGAAATTTAATATATTTTTATTAGATAATTTATAAAAATAAATTTATATAGTTGTAAAAATAATTATATTATATTTGTTAATTGATTATAACAGAGTGAATGTGTTTAATGTATTTTAAACATTATTATAAATAAATTTTACGAAATCCAATGAAATATCAGTTATAAATCATGTTTCAATTCTGAAATTTCTGTTATACCAAATGCAAGTTTGGAAAGAGTTCGAAAAGAAATCCAATTTCAAATACTGTAACAGTTTAACACACCCTAAATGATAAACAAATATGTTTGATTTGATTATGGGTATAATTAAATGTTTAAAATTTGATCATTTATGTCAGTAATTATTATGAGATATCAAGAGACTCCCACCATCTTAAACAAATGTATACAATAAAAATGACAGATAGTTTTAGAAATATGTAATTATTACACTATTTAAATTAATTAAATTACATATTTACCCTTGATAATAGATAAAAACAAACTCTTTCCATCTCATAATGTACAAAAGATTTCTGAACCAAGTTCGTAGATGCAGGGACCAAATCTGTAAATTAGATAAAGGTCAAGTGGCACCTCCGCCACTTGCGGAAGTGCTAGGACTAATTTATTAATTTGGTCCCTGCACTTGTGGACCTGGTTCAAATTTTTTTTTTTTTACATTTTGACTCATTCGTAAATTGAGAAGGTGTCACTTGCAAACCTAGTGACATTTTTGAAATATAGAGAGAGAAATGACTAAGAAATGAATTTGAAATCTGAAAATAGTTATTTTAATTAATTTCCCATTCATACCGTCACTTGCGGAAGTGTTAGAACTAATTTATTAATTTAGTCCCTGCACTTGCGGACCTGGTTCAGAAACTTTTTTTACATTTTGACTCATTCGTAAATTGAGGAGGTGTCACTTGTGAACTTAGCGATACTTTTGAAATGTAGAAAGAGAAATGACTAAGAGATGAATCTGAAGTCTGAAAATAGCTATTTTAATTAATTTCCCATCGATAGTGCCACTTGCAGAAGTGTTAGGACTAATTTATTAATTTGGTCACTGTACTTGCGGATCTGGTTCAAATTTTTTTTTACACTTTGCCTCCTTCATAAATTGAGGAGATGTCACTTGTGAACCTAGTGACATTTTTGAAATATAGGGAGAGAAATGACTAAGAAATGAATGCAAAGTATGAAAATAGATATTTTAATTAATTTCCCTTCGATAATTTTAATATTGATTATTGTTAATGACCATGATGGGGTTTATGTAAAACGTGCATTACTTATGACTTAAATAGATTTAAGCAGTCTGACCAATAAATACAGATTATTCATCGTCTTTATAAAAACACAGATAAAATAAACCAGATTCTATCAACATAAGAAGAAGCAATCACCTGATCACATCCCGGAACAATAGATTGTAAAAGCTTCATTCTTTCGTTTATTTTCTTTCTTCTCACCTTATGAAAATAAGTCAAAAATGTCAGCACGATGGTTATTATAATATGTATATATATATATATATATATATATATATATATATATAGAGAGAGAGAGAGAGAGAGAGAGAAGGGGGGTTGGGTTCATGTGATACCAGCATGTGTTCAAGTGTAAGACCACTTTTTTACACTTGAAACTTCATAGCAAAACGCTGTGAAGGTAAAAAAAAAAAGTAAAACTTTCACAGCAAAAACACTATGAAGTTTCAAGTGTAAAAAAAATGGTCTCACGGGTCTTATAAAAACATGTTGGTCTCAAGTGATCCTCAAATCTATCTATCTATATATGAATAACTCAAAAATTAAATATAAAATGACTAAAATACCCTTTCAGCAAGACTATGCCTATTAGTTGCTTGACCACTTCTTGCTCTAACGTGAATGTACCCAATTTCCCCTTCATCATCACCGCTTTTCTTTTGCTTCTTCCTCTTTCCTTTTCTTGTATCCTATCAACATTTTTCAAATACTTAAAGAAAATTATAAGAATTAATAAATAAAATCAAAGTTTTAAATTAACGTAACGTTCAATGTAACGGTAAGATCAAACCTCAAGTCTTATATGTCACTGTAAGGACGCGACGTTTTTCTAGACGTGACATAAGAAGGCAAAGTTGTATGATATATATAGAATGAGTTGGATTCACATGAGACCAATGGTTTTTCGTGAGACCTGTAAGACCAATTTATGTTCATTGATCAACTTTATAAGCTAATGATCTAWTGGTCTAAAGTTGCACGGTGGCAATTTTATGATTATTGAGAAGTCTCGTGGCAATTTTGTGATTATGAATGTTTAGATTGTAGATATAATCTAAAAGTTGAGAATTGGTCTTACGGGTCTCACGAAAAACCCTTGGCCTCACATGATCTCAAGTCTATATATATACACACACATATATATATATATAGAAGATTTCTTCATTATCTCTTTTTTTTTTCTTCTATTTTATAGAAGATTTACCGTAGCTGTTGGAGCAAATTTTTATCAACTCTCTAAAATTTCCAAATTAACATAGTTGTTGAAAATGCTCTGATAAAAAACTAAATGAACTATTTTTTTAAAGTCCCGCCTTTTAAATAACGCACACCACTGTTGCAACATGGCGTGAGCCACGCCCTCCAGAAATGCTATACGTCTTATTGTAACGACGGAGAGACGTCTTACGCCATCATACTCTTTTTAAATATTCAATAAAATATAAATAAATATTTAAAAAAAGTATATATATTTTTTACTTGGGAAATTCCATTAATGGCCTTCCTCTTCATGGCTAAATGATCATGGCTGCCACCATCAACCTCCATTGATGTTGAATAGCCTTTTCTCTGCAAATTCTTGGTTCTGTGATGATGATCTTGATCAAGTAAACAAGCGGCGGCAGCGGCGGTGGTGGTTGGTTGGTGGACAGAGAAGTTGTGGGTGGTGGAGTGTGGGTGGAAGGCGGTGGTTGGTTGGTGGCCGGAAAAGTTGTGGGTGGTGGAGTGGGGGTGGAAAGCGGTGGTTTGATGGAGAAAAAGGTGGTGATGGTGAGAGAAAGCTGCCATTGTTGAAATTGAATCAAGCTTTGAATTTGGAACTTGAAATAAGAGATTGATGAAAAGGAAAACACTTTTGGTTGTGGGGTTACACTCACAACCAAACATGAAGATATATACATACATATATGTATATCTATATGTGTATATATAGATATAGATAGATTCAGGAACACAGGTGGCAAAACCCCAATCTCTCAGCCCCTTGCCCCCAAAGATATTTTATTTTTTTAATAATTTAGTTTTCTTATTTTGAAAACTTGAAAATGTTTTATTTTTATAATATTTTAAAGAGAAATTAATACAACTAATTATTTTCGGAGATCAAATTCATATTTTAGCGGTCGATTATTAAATGCTTACCTGGTAAATGTTTACTGGGTAATTTTCTTTACCAAATGAACATGACAAAAGTCAAAAATCTTACGGTAAAAGCAATGATAAAGATGAAGAGTCTTACTCGGCAAGTGAGAGTGACGACTCTTACCTGGGTAAACGTTTACTGGGTAAATCGTTGCATACGATATCATTTTGATGTATTACAATCTTACCCAGTAAAATAAATTAAAGTGTTGAGTTCTGACAATAAGTGTTTACCAGGTAAGCATTTTAGGTAAACGACCCATTAGTCATTTTTCTTCAAAAATTTCAATATATTATTACCTCTACAAGTGGCACCTCCTGACTTATGGATGAGCTAAAGTAAAAAACATTCACTTTTCACTGGCTTACGGACCTAGGTGAAAAGTGATTTTTTTCCCTTTAGTTTTCACCCATTTACGGAGGTGTCATTTGGAGATCTAGGTGAAAAAGGTGAATTTGTTTTTATGTTTTTTAGCTCATTCGCAAGTTACGAAGACACAACTTGCAAAAGTAATGATATTAAACTACAAGGGTGATGTCTAATTGGTTTGAGGTTGGCTCCAAAGGTCAAAAGTATCAGGAGGTCTCATGTTCAAATCCAAAAAGAAATAAAAATCCCCTTGTGGCCACGGAGGTTCAAATGCGGTGACTCCGGGTTATCTGCAAAGCAGGTGGTTGCCCTGGGATTAGTCGGCTCGCATTGCGGGTTGGATATCCAGGTTAATAAAAAAAAGTAATTATATTATAAAAATTATTAAGAGATGAATTTGATCCTTAAAAATGACTATTTCAACTTGCAAAAGTGTTGATATTAAGGGTGTGGACATAACAGAATAAAGATCATTTTTATGTTTGATAAGAATTTTATGTGGAGCAGACAGAAACAGAGTGGAACAAACGTGTTCCACCTCATTCCATGGACCAAAGTGAAACAGACTTACATTTTACCAATATAACCTTAAAATAAAACTTAATTCTTTTCCAAAATATCAAATACACCTATATCTTTATATTTTATTCATTTTTTAAATTTTATTTGTTGTATTTTATGTTCTTTAAATTTTCAGTTTATTATCTGAAGGCATGCACATTTTTTTAATATGTTTTCTATGTTATAGTTAATTAATGTTATTTATTAAATAATTTAATAAAAATAATTATACTTATATCATCTATTTAAAAAATATACTAAAACGTAACGGTAAAAATTCCTCAGTTATTATAACAAATGTTTAATTTTACATATCTGGTGCTTAGATTTATCTGATAATTGGGTTTTCAATTTATATGAAATTGGTTGATTTTAATGTGACATTTATAGTTTAATTTAATAATTTGGCCAATACGTTATTAATAGTTACAAAATCTATCAATTGTAAGTAAAAGATGGTACAAACCAGAAAAAATTGGACGTTGTTACATTAATTTGAAAAAAAAAAAGCTTGTTGTTACAGTAAATAGGATTTAAGACCTAGGGGTCGTTTACCGAACGCTTACTTGAATAAGCGTTTACCAAGTCACATTACCTTATCGGATGAATATGATAAGGACCAAGAATTTTACCCGGTAAGAGCGAGGCAAAGACCAAGAGTCTTATCCGGTAAGTGAGGGCCACGACTCTTACCATGGTAAACGCTTACCGGATTGTTGCATACGGTGTCGTTTTGGTGAACTAAAATCTTGTCTGGTAAGTAAATGATAGTGTTAAATTTTACCGGTAAGCGCTTACAGGGTAAATATTTGGTAAACGACACCCTACTTTGTTATATTTTGATACATTTTTGATAAAAAGAATAACATATCTGTAAATAATTGAGGATTTTAATAAGTGATCAAAATATTAAAGTCAAAGGGGTCATATGTCTGGCTGTCTTTATGATTTGTGTCATTTATATCAAATACGACAAATATGACCTAAAAAGAAGTGAAGCCGGTATAAGGGTATTCACATCCGATGATTGGGAGAAGACGGATATGGTGACAATGAATAAAGATAAATCCAATATCTGTTATATTCCAATCAATTGAATACAGTTACTGATAATAAAAAAGTATCCATTATTTGTAGTTTATTCATCATTTATTAACCAGATATTTTAACGGGTATGATATGAATAATCAGTGTTTTTCGTTATTCATCAAGTATGAACTAATTTCTAATTTCTTTTTATTTTGGATATCAGAAGAAAATATTAAAATTGCATCACTTTTAACAGTATTTTGAGAAGATGAAGAAATATGTTAACAATTTGCATTTTGGTGAGTTGTTTGTATTTTTATATTACATTAAAATCCGGTGACTCCGGACTACCCGTAATTCCGTAAAGCAAATGGTCGTTTTGAGATTAGTCGGCTCGCACAGCGAGTTGGATATCCAGATTAATTAAAAAAAAAGCTTATTATGTTTGTTAAATTAAACCAGATATAGAATTGTCAACATATCTATGAAATTATTAGTCTTAACATGTCTACTACTTATTAAAGGCATCTTAACAGTTTTTTCAAAAAAAAAAGAGAAAATGAGGATTTTGAGCCAATGTTTTGCTTCAACAATTTTTTTAAAACAATCTCCAAAATGGAGAAAGTAGGAAAGAAAATGTTTTTTCCCCCAAATATGGAGGTAACCCCAAAAATGATTATCAAGTCAGACTGACAATCCTAGGGCGACCACCTGCTTTGCAAGTAGCATGGAGTCACCGTATTTGAACCTTCATGGTCATAAGAAGATTTTTATTTATGCTTGGATTTGAACTTGAGACCTCCAGACACTTTTGACCGAAAAAAAAAATATTCATCTTCAATGAATTTCCCATTTTGAAGAATTCAACGTTGATTATAATATTAAAATATTATATTCATATATTTTTATATTATTTTTCTATTTTAAATATTTATTTTCAAATTTCCTATTGGTGGTCCCACTTAATCATTGTTTTTAGGGTTATCTCCATATGTGTACAATACCCGACTTAAAAAAAATAAACACGAATTAAATACAACGATGTGTCTTCACATGATTGGTGGGACAGAGTGGGAACAGTCAACTTTGAGACGACATATTTTTATTTCGCCTAAGTAACATACCATTCTTTTATGTATCTATAATTTCATCTCATTAGGGGAATGCGATCACAACATTTCAGTAGATTATAACCATTCCAGAGAGTGTAACACCAATGCAAGAAGGTAGCAATCTTGAAGCCAATCTAGCGTTATTATCCCTCAATTCAAAATACAAAATCACTTCATCTTTTGGTAGATTGCTTACTAGTTTACTTAGCAGGAGGAGCAGCACCGCCCGTGGTAGGCCTACGAACAAAACAAACGTCAATTTGTCATTCAAAAAACATATAACGTTATGAAAAGGGTCAATGGTCTTGCAGTAATCTGGTTACTGATAGAGCCTTGCCTCTCATGTGGTCACAGGATCAAACCTCATGAAAAAGTGAGGAGGGTGCATGTGTGTGTGTGTGTATATATATATATATATATATATATATATATATACTTCACATAAAAAACATGTGTGTATATAAATATAGGGTCATCTTCAGGGAAAGACCGCAAAAAACGAAAAAACTGAGGAATGCCCTAGTAACTATTCATCTGGATGGTATGTACATGTGCATATAAGTAATTTATAAGCAACTTGTCTGGTACGCACATGTGTATAGAAACCAAAAAACAACTTCAGTTACTTATATGTACATGTGCATAGAAACCAAAAAACAACTTCAGTTGTTTATATGCACATGTGCATAGAAACCAAGAAACAACTTCAGTTACTTATATGCACATGTGCACATAAACCAAGAAACAACTTTAGTTACTTATATGCACATGTCAATATCGTATAAATGATTGGTTACTAAGGTGCTCATCAGTTTTTCATTTTTTGGGATTTTCCCCTAAACCTCTCTCTCTCTCTCTATATATATATATATATATATATATATATATATATATACTTCAAAGAAAAAACATATAACATACAATAGTTTGCATTTTAGGGTTTGAAAGGAAGATAGAAGTTAGTATGTTTTGACAAGTAAAAGAATGGTAAGAAACTAACAGGCCAACGGAAACTTTGAAAGCATCATAGATGCCCCATTGTGCTCCGGTAAGAGTTCCAATCATAAAAATACGAAGAGGAAGACCACGAGTGAATAGACCCAACATACCAAGCTTCTTGATAGCCTGCACCATATGTTTTAAATATCATGTTAAGATATATGTATAGGCAATCGTTGGACTCCCACGTTAGCTAAATTTTGACCCTTTATATTCAATATATATCTGAACAAGCAAATGATCATGTGAGCATGAGTGTTAAAGTGAGAAACATAAGAAGGGATCTGGAACCTTAATCACCTTTAATCTCAAATCAACACAAGAATCATGCTTGATACTTGGATTAATCTTGTGCATCTCATCCTAATATACATCCAAGGGTGGAGATTTCTTTTTACACTTCTCACCTTAACTCTCTTGCTTACTGGAACCCAACCCTATCGGAATATCCCTAATTTCCTTAAGGGATTTTTGAAGGGTAATAAGATGGGGTTCCACATGTTATAACATGGTATCAAGTCAAAGTCTACTGCTCTAGGATTTGAAAATATAAGGCAATCTTTGTTAGCCTCCATTGGATGGGGTGTGTCTGTAACATCCCAGACCAACCATACCAGATATTATCCGCTTTGTCCACACAACTGGACTCACGGTTTTAAAATGCGTCTAATAGAAAAGGTATTCAGTCCCTTACAAGGCAACATTTGTTCCCCTCTCCAACCGATGTAGGATCTTACAGGAGTCCCACATGGGCTAGACTTGGACTCTTTATCCTCTATATTTATTGGAATCTCTCTTCTCTCCTTAAGGACACTTTTTGAGAGTAATATGATGAGATTCCATATATCCTCACACCAACAAAAAATTTGATTGGTGCCTTTTTGAGCATTTATAAAAAGAACTGTATGCTTCAAAATACTAATGGGATTATGGCACTCAACATGACTACTGAACATGTTTTGTGCATAAATCAAAGAAGAAAAGTATAGTATGAGGATGAATTGAAGATATGGAGATATACTCACATCACCAGCAGTGGCCCCTTTGGAACTATTGAGGAAAGAAACCAAATTATCAGCAGGGTGAGAGACAATGGCACAGAATACACCAGCCACATAACCACCGGCAAAACTCACTCCAAGTTGCAACCTTTTGCTGCATTGGTCCTTTGGTGTGGGGATGGCATACTTGTACAACATCTCCACAATTGTCTCAAAAGATGCAAATTTCATCATTGTATCTGAAAAATGCATGCATTTTTATTTCTATCACTCTTTGTCCTAGTAAATTAAAGACCTTTCCAAAAAAACGGTTAATAATTGGTAACAACAGACACCTATTTCGAACATGATACCATTATGCAGATAGACTAAGGGTCTGTTTGTTAACAACTTTATGAGCTTAATGAAAGTCAACTTATTTGGACAACTATACATCTATTTGGTAGCAACTTTATGAGCTTAATGAAAGTCAACTTATTTGGACAACTATACATCTATTTGGTAGCAACTTTATGAGCTTAATGAGACTCACAACTTATTCGGTCAGCTATACATGATTGTTTGGTAGTGGCTTGATGATATAGAAAGTGGCTTATTCAATAAGCTTCTAGCAGGAAGCTTTATGCAGAAAGCCTAAGTTTCTTCCAAATTCTCCATCCCAACTAAAAAACACCCTGCTTCCATTTATGAAAAAAATTATCCCAAACAAAAAACTTTTCGATCTATATAGACACATTAATTCATATAGACGACTTTATCCATGCAAGTCTTAATGGAAAACCAACCAAACAGTCCCCTAATTCCCTAAATACTTGTTATAGAGTTCAACTCAGAACTTCAGTAAGTTATTAACTTACATGGAATTTGTCGTCCCCAAAGAGGAGCTATCCCCCTGAAAAGCCTGTAGGAGAATAAATGAATATTGTAAGTTGGTACTAAGATTGATAGAAAATCAAATATGTTATCCAACTAAAATCTCAAATTAATCACCACTAGGATCATACCCAGCATAACCGTCAGCCTTAACAAACTTTGGAAAGCCATCTGACAAACCTTTGGCATATCCAGGCTTCGTTTGCACGCGAACTTTAACTGCCTCAAAAGGGCATAGTGCAATGTCAGCAATGAATTCAGCAGATGCAGAACCGGCAAGGAAGATCAATGTTTTATACTTGGTTGCAAACTCAGGGCCAGCCATATCAGAGTAGGTTTTCTTGAAGAACTCATAAAATCCGAACTTGCAAGCACCCTGTGCACTGTAACCAAGCAAAGTTGGAACCCAACCCCTAAAAAATCCTTTTACTCCCTGCTCCTTGAGCAATACTTTAAAACCAGAACTGATACCCGTGTACTTTGCAGGATCAATCTGAAGAATTGTATGTTTCAAAAAGCAAGATTCATGAGTAATTGATTCAACAATGTCAATGGTTATGTTTTACATGAATGCATATAAGTCCAACATATGCAAATCACATAACATGTTTCATATTGAAATCTTACATAAGAAGTCAAATGTAGTATACAAACCAGTAGAACAATTTTAAAGGAAAAACTTTTCCCCTTTATCATACTTGAGAGTAATTTTCAGTTTAGCAAATAACAATCACTTATACTATATCAATGCTTATAATTTACATACCGTTAAGAGTACCACATAAGCTAGATTAGAAAAATTCTCCACTATATATGTTGGAACCTCCTTTTTCTCCTTAATGGCTCTTTTGGAGAGTAATCTTGGGGTATATTCTCAAATGGTATCAAAGCGAAGTTCTACCATCCCGAACATCTTTGCCCGCCTAACCCCATCCGACACTATAGACATCTTTGTGCATCTAGCATCAGTTAGAGGGGGCATGTTAAAGTCCCACATAGGCTAGACTTGAACAAATTCTTCATTATATGTTGGAACCTACCTTTTCTTCTTCTAAGCATGGTATAGAAAAAGCGAAAAGTCAGCGATCACGATCTTGTAACTTATTTAGAATTAGCTACACATTAATCAATATAAGCGGCAGTATCCATAAATAATCAAAATTTATGTTGGAGGGGCATGTTAGAGTCCCACATAGGCTAGACTTGGAGAAATTCTCTATTACATGTTGGAACCTACCTTCTCTCCTTCTAAACATGGTATAGAAAAAGCGAAAAGTTAGCGATCATGATCTTATTCTTGTAACTTCTTTAGAATTAGCTACACATTAATCAGTATAAGCGACAACATCCATAAATAATCAGAATTCATATTGAAAGAAAAACAACAAGTTTATTCTTAAAGGCATAACCAATTTAAACAGAATCCATACATCTCACAAGTGATTAACAAATTTGATGCGTGTCTAAAACTTGCATACGCATATTTCTAAACATCATCATTACCATACATAGTGATAAAAGAATCGGATTTCAATTTACGTCGTGCATAAGTTAGTTTATCAATCCAATTACTGCAATAATTCAACTCCGTGATCCACAAAAATCACTACAAATTTATAACAATTATATGCACGAGAGATCAACCTGCATATTACATTTGACGAGATCCAGCGGAGTGACGGCCGTGTGAGTGAGACCACAACTAAGAATACCACCAGCTGTACACGCTCCGTAATACGCCGGAGAGAACATTGCGATCTTACGTGGCTCGCTAGGAGCCGGAACCACAAAACCTCTTTTCGGCGTTGACGATGACGATGAAATCGAAGGAGTAGATCTCAAAGAGGACGAGGTATCTCGTTGATTCGGCCTCAAATGCTCAAAATCGTTGAATTTCATAGACGAGTAGAGGAATCTCGGAATCAGAGGTTGTCGTGAGGAATCCATGAATTCCATGGCGATGATGGCTGAAATTGTTGTACAAAATCGATGAGATAGAGTGAGGGTTTCGTGAGAGAGGGATGAAGATGGGATTAATGGAGGGAAATGAAAGGAGGTTCTGGTTGATGAACGAGAAGACGATTCGAAAATGCATGCGCTTTTGAAGCATATTCGTTTGTTGCTTTGTGTTGACTTTGAAAACATGAACAAATATTAATTTTACGTTTTTCGTCCCTAACGTTTATTAAAATCATAAATTTGGTCCTATGGTTTTTTTTTGAAAATAACAATTTGATGAGCCATTTATCAAACTCTTACTGAGTAACTGCTTACCGGCTGTCACTTACCTTAATGATGAGCATGACAAAGACTGAGAATCTTACTTGGCAAAAGACATAGCAAAGATGATGACTCTTACCAAGTAAGCGAGGGAGACGACTCATACCCGATAAGCGTTTACCGAGTAAAATACATTTACCGCAATCCACGTTGATGGTTGAGAATGTTACTCGATAAATTAAATAGTGTGATGACTCGTGTCGGTAAACACTTACCCAGTAAACGGCCCCTTAGTCTCTTAAGTTTCAAAATTACAAAATGATCATCTTGGTTTGCAAAAACGTCCTGATTTGATTACTTCTCCAACAACCATTAAAAAATTCCATTAAATGAGGGTCTTTGTTCTTTCAAAATGCAGATAATCTCCTAATGAAATAGACTGTCATTTAACTTGATTTTATTTATAATACGATGTTGGTCGGTTTTCTATGTCTTGCATAAAACACAGTCTATTTCATACTCGTTGTACCCTTCATGTTCCTTGGTAATAAAATGCTTGTCTTTCAAGAAAAAATGTTTAAGAGAAATAAATAATATATTATTAAAATGTATTAAAATTTTAATAATATTATAAAAGTATTCATGCAATTCAACCATATATATCTAGATTTTAATGTTTCATTTTATTTTTTTGGTCTCTGTATGTTATAATACGAATTTATGTGGTTTTGAACAAACAATAATGTTTTTCTTAATAAAATATAAATTTGAAGATATCATAAAAATTAAAAAAAAGTTCTCATTTTTTGTGTGTAATTTTTTTAATTTATTTTTTTAATATTATAATTTAATTTAGGTTCAATGACGAAGTAATTTATTTTTGATTTAATAATATAAATTTTATAAAGATAATAACTAAGTATTTTATTATAACTTAATAATTATCCTAATTATATTTTTGATATATTTAAAATTAGAATTTTATCATGTATTTGATTATATTTATTTACAGTTAGTCACACTTATTCTACTATGGAGCTTAATAAGTTGTACTTATGCACAATTTACTTGTAATCTTGAATTTTAAGTAATATGTTTCAATAAACAGTACTTCATGTATAAAAGATGATTTTTAAAAGTTTTTGTCAAATACTTTATAATACAGTATAGATAATTAATGTTGTCTAAAACAAAGAAACTGTTAAAATAAAATATGATCTTTTTTTCTTTTTTGAAATTTTGATTCTAAATTTAAAAATAATTCTGGAAATGCTCTTAAAATGTCAAACTAATAGAAGTTGGAGGGTTAATATGCTCTTAACATGTCAAACTACTAAAAGTTGGAGGGCTAAATGTGTAAATTTACAATATTAAAAATACGCCGTTGCCGGGGATCGAACCCGGGTCACCCGCGTGACAGGCGGGAATACTTACCACTATACTACAACGACCGCTTTTATTTATTTTCCTTTTTAATTTTATTTATATAATATATATATAAACGCCGTTAACTTTAACGGAAAAGTTGTTTTCTTCATCCACTTTACACGTCAAGCGTTTCAACGTCGAATCCCGTATTTTAACGGCCCCCAATTTCCAAGTCTCCATCAAAACAACACACGATTCCATCCCCTCCGATCTCGCCGGTCCTTTTTTCTCTCCTCAAAATCATCGAGAAAATCCAGGAATTCAAGAAATCCAGACGAAATTTTGATCAAATTTCTCAATTGTTACTACTGTTGATCTACTAATTGTGTTTGTTTTCTGTGAAATGGATCGGAAGCGGACGGAGAGTCCGGTGTATACACGGCAGTGGAGCGGTGGTTCTAGCAGCACCGGTTCATCATCACCAGCGATGTCTCCGGCGCATCCTCAGTCGAGATTAGGTCAACCTTCTGGATATTCAACGATTAAGAGGACACAGAACGTTGCTGCTAAAGCTGCGGCGCTGCGTTTGGCGCAAGTCATGGCTTCACAGACTGCAGATGATGACGAGGAGGATGATGATCCAGGGTTTCGGTTCGCTGCTCCTACCTCCTTTGGAAAAAACAATGCTAATAATAATAATAATGGTAGTGTTGGTGCCTTGTCTGGTGTTTCGTTTGGTAGACCAAATAGATCGCCGTCACCTGCGGTAAGTCGAATCAATTCGTTTCTTTCTGGGTTGATGTATGTTTGCATTTCGTATAGTATATGTTTGAGCTAAAGCTTCAAAACCGCTTCTTTGTTAATTCGATTGTTTTGTTCGAGAATATAGATGAAAGGTAATTGCGGTTTGGATTGTTCATAACGGTGGTAGATTAAGTGAGGCAGCTATTAATGCATGAAAGTACAGGTGGAATCTCTACAGGAGCTTACTTAGTTCGAAGTTCTTGCTAGATAAGCTATATAATTGGAGTTCCCAACCATGTTACAATATTTTTGGAACTTTGTTGATTCAGTATGAAAGAAATTGTGCTAGTTAGTTTGAAGTTCTTGCTAGATAAGCTACAGAATTGGAGTTCTCAACCATGTCACAATCTTTTTTGGAACTTTTTTAATGTAGTAAGAAATAAATTGTTTGTTTTGGAGTTACATACCAATTGCTGCCTTGCTTAATCTAACACTGTATAATCAAGAATCCAGACCTCATCTGTCAAACATAGTCAAGTACTGAAGATCACCCGAATCAAACAGCGTCTACTATTGAAGACCACCTAATAGTGATAATTTGCTTTTTAATTGTTCCTGTATTGTCATTAAACTGTTTAAATACCACCGAAAATGGGGATCCCAAGTGAGCATATACCTTTTCATATGCAATAAGCTTGTAGCGATTACCGGGAACCTTGATCTTGGTAGGGATAACTAATCTGTCCAAAGTCAGCTTTCCTCCACCCTGGCTTGAGCACTGGCTGACTGATTGCAGGCTTGGTCAGGCTGGGAGGTCATCATTCTTGAAAGGCAATGATTCGGAATAATACTACAAATTGGTCTTGAATATGATTAACTAATTCCATCATTATAGGCTTATTTGTATTCTTTATATGTGTTGATGTTTTAAGCACTTTCTTATGCTCCTATTAGTTAGGTCGGAACTTTATGGAGCACACTCCTCCTACTCGATCCACATCAGCTGGACGACCGTCAGCATCCGTTCGCACAGGACAAATGGTGCCACCTACTAGACCATCTTTGAGAAACCCTGGTTCCATCCCACCCCCGATAGAACCTCCTGCTGGAAACAGACTCAGAGAAAGGTAAGAGATGCTTGTACCTGTTAATGTCTATTTCTTTGGTTGCTATTCATCTTTAGATGTTTCATCTTTGAATACCACTTAGGGTTCTTCTATAAACTGATTTTGGGATCTTCTAATAAAATGATTAAGTAGAAGGCAGTATACCTCTGATTGCTCCTGCCAGAGCTTACTAGGTCAACAACATATCTCAAAGCGATGCCTATCCTCATTTCTGATAACTTATCTACTTATTGGTAAATGACAGTGAGCTCAAAGAATATTGGGTTTTATAGTTACTAAAGTAATGAGGAAAGTATCATTTACTGATTATTGTTATCGTTAAACCAAAGCTTCAAGTAATTATGGACAAAGGTGGACCAGGTAACAAGCTGATGCAGTTTTCAGAAAAGTGGGTGGCATATATCAACGTGGACTAGGTGGCTCGAATAAGACTTGCGAACTCCAAAAGCTTATATATCCCTTAATTTATCATTAAATATAGAGGTGTATTTCGCTTATCCTCATTGACAGACCACAAGCCTTTTATCTCTGATGACTTGGAGTTGGGCTAAAAAGAAACCCATTAAAAAAACTGAAGCAGTGACACTGAATTGAAGTTCTAAAGAGATGAATCTCCCAAGGGCTCCAAAACCTGATGACTTTCCTCCATGCTTTCTTATCTAAAGCACACTACTTTGGTGTATTCCACTGACCTGAACCTATTTTCACCACTTCTATGTCAGTCTTGGCTGACCTCTACTTTTTCTCTTGGCACAGCCTGATTTGTTCATAATTAGAAACTCGCTTATTTAAGGACAAAGTATGAATCATTTTGTGTAGCATATATTGTTATAAAGTCATTCCTTTCCCAGGAGTCACATCCTAGGAAACTATTATGCATATGAAAAAATTGTCATCCTCTCCTACTTGGCATTTATTCATGAATCTTCTCTACACTATTTATATTTTTTTCACTGAACATTTGTTAAATCATAGATGCATGCCCGCATTTCATAATCATCTTGATAAGCGTTAACTTATCCATAATTTAATAACTGGGTATGCCAACAATTGTAAATTAATAATATTGTATGCTCCCATCCGTTAGTATCATTATGTGGTCAGAAGTCAAGTTCCTTATTGCTTCTTGGATCATAGGTTCAACATCACAACATGATTCTTTGCACATTTGTTATCCTCCATGAGTATTTTGCATTACATGCTAGCAGCACAGTTAGGCAGTAAAACAGCCTCTCAGTGAAATTCGATCTTGTGCTTTGGCAACATCTTTAACTGTGATAGTGTACATTGTAGGTTTACAAAGGATATTGGACGTGTAGACAAAGATATGGGAGATCAGCATGAGGCATCTGCACTTCGTGATGAAGTATGGCTATCCTATCAAATCTAAAAGTTACTTGTACACAACGCAAGATGAATTTACTAAAGAACGTTAATAATGTTGTTTTTTGAGTCAGATGTAAGTGATAAGCTTACATTCACACGGATTTTACAACTTTTACTTGATGAAAATGGTGCTTAATTGCAGCTTGATATGCTACAAGAAGAGCATGACATGGTTATAGATAAGGTGAGTCTATCTATGTGGTTTCTCTGTTGATCCCAACCATATACTGTTATACAAACAATAGTACAGTGACATAGAGACATTGTGGTAGTTGTGGTTGATGCACACTTGTATAGTGTGATGTATGTTTTTATTTCAGCTTCGTCGTGTAGATGAAAAGCGCGAAGAAGCAGAGGCCAGGGCAAGGGAGCTGGAGAAACAGGTATATAATTCCTGTATTCTTAAATAGTTCATCCCAATAGCAATGTTAATTTGACTTGTATCTTCAGAACTTCTGTGTGTAACCTTAATGTTAAGTCAACATTTAATGATTTTGATGGTATGGCATTGTTAATTTCATCTGCAAAACTTGTATTCTATAGGTGGCTTCTTTAGGAGAAGGAGTGTCTTTGGAAGCCAAGTTGTTGAGCAGGTAAATGATAAATCTAGATTGGGTGGATGTTATATAAGTTTTGATACTTGACACTGGGAAAATGATGTAATATATGTTTCTACAGGAAAGAAGCAGCAATACGTCAAAGAGAGGTAAATTGAATACAAATTTGGCAATTACAGTGCATTTCTCTTTCATGTCTATTTGGGGTTTGTTTGCATATGCTTTACAAGCTGATCAACCAGGAGCTTCAGTTTTACCTGAGTTAATGGTCTTCTTAATAAAATTTGCCAATCAGTTGAAGAGATTTTAATAGCCTCGAGTCATGATTCATCCCGAGTAACTGAACTAATGGTTTCTTGTTTATTAATTGCAAGTTATCTGCATAGATTGCTGTCTCGTACTTCTTATACAGAAGACAATGTCTTGTCTTATCTATGATCTGGGGAATGCACCATTCGAGCAATTCTTTTTGAAATGTGAAAAACAAAAATTAGCCACATTAACTTTCCAAGAGTGCTGGTGAAAAAATATAAATGAACAGAAGGTATAAATAAATCAGAAATGTTTTAAATTGTTTTTTTATATTGAAGCAGAGGAAGGTAGTCGTAATTTATCATCAACCTATTTAAATATAAATTATGCAATCTGTCCTCTAGAAAAACAGGGTGTACACCACCCTCTGGAACTCTAGCACTGCACTGGTCCTACGGCCATCATGAGGGAGGAAAATCCCGGTGTCTCAGAGGCAGGTGGATGGTGCCCGGATTTAAACCCGAGACCTCACTTATGGATTCCCATCTCACTGATGCAATCTGTCCTTTAGCATTCGGTTGTTGTAGCTCAGTGTTGCGTTGTTCTTTGTATGTAGTAAGGATGCTTTAGCATGGCTTGCTATTATCTTAAGCATATGAATCTCGAAACGTGCTGTGGCAGTATCTCATTGATTTTGTTGTTTATTGTCCCTAGTAGCTAAACCTAAATATCGGCAGACTCATGCCCCAAATGACTTCCCATTACTCTGTTCTCTGCTTTTTGGTTGAGCATGTCTGGGATCTTAGAAAAATGATCTAAGAAAGGGTTTGTTTAACTTTAAGCTGGCCCCAATCAAGTTTGGTGAGTTGATGGTGTTTTTTGCTTTAAGATTTTTTCTTGATGGGAACTCATTCAGCAAAGTTTTCCATCCCAGGTTGCTCTAAAAGCTGCACAACAGACAAAAGATGGAAGAGATGTCGAAGTTTCTAATCTTCGTGCAGAACTTGAGGTAATATATGGTTGGCGAACTCCCTGAAATTCTGGTTTCTCTTGGCTCACTTGATTTTTTCTAGTGCTGATTATTTTCTCCCCACTTTTATCTGTTTTGAATCAGAACTTAAAAGATGAGACTTTAGGCGCCATGGAGCAGCTCAGGGAAGCTGAATCTGAAGCAAAAGCCCTTCGCTCAATGACACAACGAATGGTTTTGACTCATGAAGAGATGGTACGCTTGATTTTTTCATGGTATTTTCTGAGGCTTCACTCTACTTATTTTTGTAATTTTATTCCATTCCTTGTGTGCAAATTCTTTCAGGAAGAGGTAGTCCTGAAGAGGTGCTGGCTTTCTCGTTATTGGGGTTTAGCTGTACAACATGGTAATCTTCTTGCCACATGCCGCGTCAAACCTGGAAACTGAATTGTGTGATGTTTCCTTGTATTGTCTCAAAAGAAACCTCTAATTGGACCTGGTACTTGCAATTAGTTGGAAACCGACCTAATTGCTTATTTGCCGAGTACACTGACTGTTCACAACCAGTTAGCTTGATGGTACTGAAAAATATCATTAGAAAGAATACATGTGGTCTAATGGTTGATGTCCAAACTTCTCAAACCATGTTGCTTTAGCTTTTCTTTTACCAGGACGACTCCAACGATTTCATGTAAGGATACGATCTGTTGGCAAAACTTTTTATTAGCAAACTAGATCTTGGGGGGGTAGAATTTTACTGTCTGATTGTAATTTTATGAAGCTTGGTCAAACGACATTTGTTAAAAGATTTTACCTCTTTGCTAAATTCGTTTGTAGATGTTATTCACGTCTGAGTACTTCTTGTTTGTTATGATACCGTCTCTTCTTTGGTTTTAAGGTGTTTGTGCTGACATAGCTGGCTCGAAGCATGAGCATTGGTCATCATTTGCACCGTTGCCATTTGAAGTTGTCATTTCGGCTGGACAAAAGGCAAGGGAGGAGTCTTGGCATGGTGGCAAGTTCACTAACTCAACGGTTATCGCCTTATTGTTACAGCTCATATATATCGGCTCCAAATTTATTTTAACTTGCTATCATGTACGAAAGCAGGTGACGAAGATTCTGACAGGAGAAAACTGGTCCGTGATATCAATGACCTAACAGGAGAAGGAAATATTGAGAGTATGCTTTCAGTGGAGATGGGTTTGAGGGAAATGGCTTCCTTGAAGGTATCTTCCCACACCATCAAACAAGCTATCATCGTTAAATTTGAGTTTATTTCTTTGCATTTTCAAATGTAACTTATATTTGGATTTGAAGGTAGAAGATGCTGTTGTGCTGGCATTGGCCCAGCACCGTCGTCCAAATTTAGTCCGGCAATCCATCTCTGGTATGGTCTCTTAACCTTGCGTGCTCTAAACCAGACTGACTAGTGGATAGATCGGGAATATCGATACAAAAATAGCGATCCTTAAATGGGGATTTTGCTATTTATGTTTTTGCCTATGGATCATGAGAATAGCAAAAACCTTAGGTGGTGTTTGGATCGTCAAAATCTGGCGAATTTGAAGGAATTGGAATAGTCAACTTCATTGACCAAATTTCATTCCTGCGTTTGGTTCATTCTTTGAGTTTTAATAAGGAATTTGAATTCCACATACAGTGGAATGTAAATTCCTTGGGTTTTAGCAAGGAATTCTAATTCCTTCCTATCATCTTATAAGAAAAAACTATTATACTCTTATATTTACTCCATTCCATTCCATTCCATCCCCACATGATTGATATCACCACTACCGCCACAACTACTGCCGCCCGTCGCCACCACCGCCGTCACTGTCGCCTCCGCTGCCATCACCATCGTTGCCACTGTCATCTTCACCCCACCACCACTGTTGCTGTCACCACCACCACCACTGCCTCCACTTCTCGACCACTATTATATTCAATGAACCAAACAGACGTTTCAATTCTTTCGACATATTCCATTCCAATTTTTGTCAACCAAACACATGGTCAAACATGATTAACTTCCATTCTAATTCTTTCAGATTCCAATTCCTGTGACAAATTCCAATTTTCCGACAGATTCCATTATGTGAACCAAATGTCACCTTATTCTATTTCAGTTTGTACCTCTACTTCCTATTTGTATCCATAAACCAGCTGATGCAGATCCAAAATCCCCGGGAATCACACTAAAATGTTACGCTCTGCCCTTTTTTTGCAGATCCAAAATCCCCGCGCGATAACAAGTTTATGGAGGGATTTGGTAATGGTTTATTTGATGTGCTTTGACAGTTTCAATATAATACTTCGCTTATACCGGGATGCATATACAGAGCACTCTAATCGTTGTACTAATATGAGCATGTTTCCCTGGGAGCTCCTCGGTTTATAATCTTTGCATGTTTGTAACACATTGGTTGTTCCGTTTTCAACTAACATTAACTGCTCCACCTCTATTGCAGAGTTGAGTCTTGAGGAGGCTGAAGATGTTTCTTTTAAAGAGGTTTGCTCCCTGTTTATTCTTCATATTTCTATTCCCCCCCCCTTCCCGAGTGGGACAAATGCAGAGGTTACTAAGCTATCCATGTCAAGAATTAGGGAGATGGGACAAGATCCATAAATTACTAAACTATCCATATCATATTAAAACCTTAAAGCCTTTCACAATTCTTTCACTAGCCTACCTCACTCTTACCCATCGAGTCCCGTCAAGTCCTGTCCAGTCATTGAATTATGAATGATGTCAGTTAGGGATAGTGGGATGGTTTCTATGAAGATCTTTCCGTTATCCCCTAGCATTATCAGCTGATAATTTATCATGGGTGGTATAAGCTTCTTGAAAACTCAATTCCAAGCATCCAGCCTAACAAATGATCTCGGGTTTCAAGCGGGTTGTCCACTCAAAATCTCGAGTGTTTTAATCGTTACAGCTACCACCTATTTTTTTATAAACAACACCAAGAATATTGGATGATGTTTCTGATGACAAGTCACCAATGTTGTGTCTAAATATAATCATATAACTTTATAAGAGAAGTAGCTTATATGTATATCCATATATCTTGCGAAGGTAAGATATGTTCATCAGGAGGTAATAAGCATTGGCTGATCTTCATTATCTACTTCCTCCATCCCAAAATAAGTGTCTACATTTCTGTTTTAGTCTCTTCCAAAATAAGCGTTCACTTCCAAAAGTAATTACCTACTTTCCACTTCTATTCATAATTATGAGATGGAGAAATTCATTACTCCCTCTATTATTTGGATAAAATTGTCATTTAGTTAATTAAAAGTGTAATAATTACACAGTTCTAAAATCATGTTTCTTTTTCATCATGGGCATTCATTTTGGGATGGAGGGATAATATGAATTTGTTCCGGAAGATGGGTGCTTTTGGGTGAGCGGATACGCTTGTGACATGCTAGTATGCAGGGGCGGACCTGTGAAGGCCCCAGCGGGGTCCATGCACCCGCTCAACCGATTTCTGCAAGTAGATTTTTTTTTATGTATGAAAGGTGCACACGCTAAACTTTTAGGGGTGCTCCGGGATATTAGAAAATACAAGAGATCAACCACAAAACTGAAAAACTCCCTTGAAAACACCCAAAAAACCCGAGAAGTCCCTAGAAATCAACCAAAGAACTTAAAAGATCCCTCGAAACGGTGGAATTCAGCTAAAAACGCATCAAACGACTTTGCAGGCCTTTGATCCACCTTAAAGGTTCACCCGCTCGACAAAAATCCTGGGTCTGTGCTGCTAGTATGATTTAGGCTCATAATTGCCTTGTTGTGCAGGCTTGGCTTACGTATTTTTGGAGAAGAGCCAAAGTTCATGGTGTAGAAGAGGATATTGCCGAAGATAGACTTCACTTTTGGATAAGCCGGAGTGCAACATCTCCCACTTCTCATGATGCTGTTGATGGTAAATATTCTCATGCTGTTTTGCAATTATTTTTCCTTACAACTCTTTTCAGTGATAGAATATGCACATAACATATGGAATGCAACTCCGTCAAGTTCTTGAAACTATGTTCGCTTATATCTTATATACAATTCTGTGAGTGGAGAAGCATGCATGTAACTTGTGTGGCTTCTACGAACTAATGAGCGGGTTGCTAAATAGTCAAAATGGGTTGTGGTCAAAACAGGTTGTTTCAGGTTGGGTTGAGTTGTCAACGTTCTTTTTTATTTTGTAAATAATTATTATATTAAATATGATTACAAAAACTATCATCAGAATAGTTGGGGTCACGTTTATGCTTAGGTTAGGATGTGCCCATGCACCCGCTCTATCGTTCTGTTGCAACCGAAAAAAATATTACGAGTCTTAAAGGTGCAACGCTTTAAAGTAGTTACAGCCTAGTAGTAGTGTCACTGCATGTGTTATTATAGGTTGCAAGTTCAAATTCCCCTGGCTCTCCCTTAGAGATGCACAAAAAAGCCCAACCCCGTATCCCCGCCCTAGTGTGCCCGAAGCCTGGTCCGGGCCAAGCCTCAAATCCCGACAGGAAAAACCCTATCGGTTCCAATTTCAACCCCAAAGCCCGGCCAGGCCCTGCATGGGCCTAGAAAGAAAGCCCGGGCCTTGTTTTTTGCTCACTAAAAATGGGCTTGGAATGCCCACGCTCGAAAAAGCCCGGGCCTTGTGCATCTCTAGTATCAAGTATCAACAAGCAGAAAAGGATGAAAAACCACTTATATGCCATTTTTTTTATTAAATCATAGTTTTTGTAATTTTTATTTTATAGTATGTAAATTATTTTGTGCACCGCTTGGAAAATTTTCTGGATCTGACTTGAGAAAGGTGACATTCGTTTTGGGTTTGTTTCAGTTGAACGAGGGTTGACGGAATTGAGGAAGTTGGGGATCGAACAGCAGCTGTGGGAAGCATCTCGCAAGGAAATCGATCAATCGTCATCTTTACCGATCGAAAATTCCAAAGATTCTGCAGATGAAGATGCCTCTTTGTGATTCCTGTTTTCATGAATTTATTTTGTTTTTCTTTATTATTTTTTTCCTTTTTTAAATGACAATTTTGGTGTCAATATGATGAGTTTGTGGAAGGTTTTCATGTATAATAGGGTTTGATCATATGATGGTATATAACCATAGATACATGTAGTTGCAATATCTATAAGTCTCCAGAGTATTCATTTGTTTGAAGGACTTTATTACCACTTTTGAGTGATCCCATGGCAGATCAGATTGTATTTTGGTTTTTAAGCCATACAAAATACAACAAAAGGTTAATAATACTGTTTAGTGAGTTTGGTATCAAGACAGGCAGAGGTGTTCATGGGTTGTGTTGATCGGGTTAAAGGATGCACATTATCAAGCACGATTCATGGGTGAATTTGAGATTAAAGGTGATTAAGGGTTCATATCACTTCTTACGTTTCACACGTGAACTCCCATTCTCACACAATCATTCGCCTATTATTATGTGTAAGGTGTAAATAGATCGATACATATTTATTTCTTTGTATATTAACACATGATAAAATAAGTGAATAACATCGTAGTTATCACCAATCAGATAAAATTTGGGTAAAAAGATTTGATTGCCGGCGACCCAAACAGGTCCGTATAAAACCTGTCTCCAAGGACACTAATACTAAGGGGGCGTTTTTTGACTCACTCAGCAACCAGTAGACATGTCTTGTATTTGTGCAAAATCACACATTCATTTATCAACTAAACTACACGTCAGAATCACCTGATCAGATAAAACCATATTTAAAAATGGGTAGGTAAAATAGAAAGCAATGAATGTTAGGAGACAAGTGCAACTCCACATCCATCTACATCCAAAATCACGAGCTTACAAGAGAAGTAGTAATGATGATTGTACCTTTCCAAATAATAAACTATATTTGTTTAAAAAAATGCTTTTATTTTTAAAATATTAAATGTATAATTAAATAAATAAAGTTTAAGCAAAAATATCTGATCAAATTTTCTTGGGTAAATTATATGAAAAAGTAACGTACTTTAATTTGATTCCTATTTTAGGTAACGTACTTTCAAAACTTTCATTTTGATACCTAAGATGTAAAGTACTAAACATTTAAGTACCCGGGTAACCGGTTACTATGCTGATGTGCCGAGTGATGGAATGAAATTGAGTTGAATAGCAAATAATACTTAGTTGTATACCACATTATCGGTTACCAGGGTACTTAAATGTTTAAAACTTTACACCTTAGGTACCAAAATGAAAGTTTTGAAAGTATATTACTTTTTCATACAATTTACCCAATTTTATTTATAATTATAATGGTTGATTTTTTCAAAATACAATGTTCTAATAAAAAATAATTTGTATTATATAAGAATAAATGAAAGTCAAATCATAAACGTGACCAGCACTGTATAAGTCCAAAATGTATGCACTAATGCTGCAATACGACACATATACAATCAAATAATTAATTATTGTGATTCTTCTTAGATCCAGACATCCTAAAGCTTCGACAAAACCTTGGTGTGGGTACAACTCGAGTGTTTTTTCCAATGCTTTGAGAACTACCGATCTGATTCTTGTTCATGAATTTAAATCTGTACTGAAGACCCTTTACAAGATTTTGAATGTAACACAGTTCATCAAATTCCAAATTCAGATTAAATGTGTTTTATCATAGACATCTGATTCATTTATGACTTGTTTGACCTGAGTGAAAGATCTATTCATCTTTTGCAAATTCAAGGACATGACAATCAATATTACAGGACGCTTGTTATACAGATTAGTATATATATGTGTCTTGAAATGGGTTTGAGAAAATAGACCAGTCAAGTCAGTGAGCAACTTTAAATCAAAATGTTTGTCCTTTCGTCCCTTAAACTCTTTAATTCTACATCTGTTTGTTCAAATGTAAAAAAAAAACGTGTGTTAAAGTCCTTGTGGTCATCTTCAGTTTGGATACAGGCGTCGTCAAAACGTTTGTGACCATGGAGGTTCACCTACGACTACGAGCATTCATAGTCACCCAAAAGATTAATCGGTGTACGTAAAATGACCCATATAACCCTGATTACCCATAAAAGAAGAAAACACCTCTAAATTTGGCCAAACAATAATTATCTTTAACTTTAGAAAAAAAAATGTATTATACTTGTAGAAATTGGGACATAAATGTTCATGATTTTAAACATAATATCTTTTTTTTATATCAATGTTTAATTTGTTTTATCAAGTAAAAAAAAGCTATCTAAATTAATGGTATTTGATTAGATGTATTAAACAGTAATTAATGAGATTGAAAATATAAAAAAGGGCAAATTGCATGAAAAAGTAACGTACTTTAACTTGATTTCTATTTTGGTAACATACTTTCAAAATTTTCATTTTGGTACATAAGATGTAAAGTTTTAAGCATTTTAGTATTCGGGTAACTGGTTGAAGGATTAAACGATTATCATGCTGATGTGGCGAGTGATGTGGTATCCAACTCAGTATTATTTGCTGACGTGGTTAATGACATGGATTCTTTTTAATCTAAAATTAGTTTTTTTTAATCTAACATTAGTCTTCAACCGGTTACCCGGGTACTTAAATGTTTAAAACTTTACATCTTAGATACCGAAATGGAAGTTTTAAAAACACATTACCAAAAAATATGAATCAAGTTAAAGTATGTTACTTTTTCATGTAATTTGATCTTTATCAATATATATAGACGTCCATTTAGCCTACTCAAAACAATGGGGTGGGTTAAATGCACATTTACCTACTAATATTATTATCACACATATCAACATTAAGATTCGTTTTTTTTACATTTTAAATACATGATTTAATATAGTTATAACTTAAGTGAGGGTGCATACAGTGATGCTTACGTTTGCAGTATTATTCGGATTAAACGATGAATGGACGTGGTTGGAGTCGGGGGCATAATGGTAATTTGACCTATTAAATATTTAAATAATCATAAACAAAATTGTTATATCTAACACGATAAAAAGTATCTTCAACAATTATGTTATAGTTTTTCTAAAATAAAATATCAAAAGTTAAAATTTCTAAATAAATTACATCTAACCCCAACAGGTACTATATTTTAACAATTCTACCATCAACTATATTATTAAAAATATTGAGCAAATTGAATGAATAGGTAACTTACTTTAACTTGATTCCTATTTTGAGTAACGTACTTTCAAAACTTTCATTTTGGTACATAAGATGTAAAGTTTTAAACATTTAAGTACCCGGTTGAAGCATTAATCTGTTACCATGTTGATGTAGCGAGTTATGTGGTATCCAACTCAGTATTATTTGCTGAAGAATTAACCGAATATCATATCACTCGACATATTAGCATGGTAATCGGTTAATGCTTCAATCGGTTACCCGTGTACTTAAATGTTTAAAACTTTATATCTTAGGTACCAAAATAGAAGTTTTAAAAATACATTACCCTAAATCTCTCTTTTTTTCCTCTATTTTTAGCATAGTAGATATACCCTAAATCTCTAAAATCTCTACTTTAACATAGTTATTGAAGATGCTTTAAATCACCGTAATCTGATGATGGATTTCATAACAAACACATTCACATATTTTTCAAAATCTAATTATTTTACCTCAAATTTTTATAAAATTTTACAAAAATTTATTATCCTAATTTCAAGTTACAATAATTCATTTTATTTTAAAAAAACATATTTTTAAATTTAGGAATCCATTCAAGAATTCGTGAAATTATGATAACCTTGAGAAGTAGTGCATCATATGTTATTTTATATGATTTTTTTTTCATCTAAGACTAAGATTTAGAATATTGATTAACATATATTTATTTCACATGCATTTCTTTCACAATGTGATTCTTTTTAGCTTGTTGGTGAAACAAAAATTACACGTAAAAAAGTTTACAATGAAATTAGGACACTGAATGGTTAAGGAGACTCATGATACAAACCATGCAAAGGGTTTTAAAATCATTAACAGACAGATTTTTTTTACCAAACAATATCATATCTTAACAATTCAAAAATTGTCTCTTAATAAAACTACTGATATTTAAAAAAAACCCCAAACTCTACGTTTTATTTTAATAATTTTATTTAGAGCGGTAAAATATGCGACAAGGCCGCCAAGGTGTGCGTCCGTCAGAATCAGACTGGTGGCTTGTAAATGGTAGAATAATTTATGTTTTTAGTCCTTATAGTTTGTTAACAGTTTCTATTTTCATCCTTATACTTTTATAATTATGATTTTTATCTCTATAATTTATAAAAGCATTTCTAACAGACTATGTAAACTAGAAATTTTGGTTATTTCTGTTGTCCAAAATAGAAAAAGTAGAAGAGAGAAAATTAATAAGAGGTGGTGTTGAAGTTTGAAATATGAATCAATAAATGAAATAAGACTTCAAACTTCAACACCTGTTAAAAAACAAACGCCACCTAAGAAAACTAAAAATATTACATAAATAACAAAAATAACTGTTTCAGATTAATAAGAGGTGGTGCTGAAGTCTGAAATCTGAATCCATAAGACTGTTTATTTTTATAAACTGACAAACGTCTGAAGTCTGAAATCTGAATCAATATTTCGCAAAATTGTCTTGATTTTCATAAAATTTTCATTGTGTAAATTCATCTCAACAATTGTTTAACAAATGAAAATAAGAACATTTTTGATACCTTTCAGACTTTCGATGCTATCAGGAATGCTGCCAGTGAGTTTGTTTGTGGAAAGATAGATACTTTTGATAGATGATAGAGTACCAAATGTTAAAATTTTAAGAAACCATAGGGACTAAAACAGTAATTTATTCTAAATGGTAATTGGTTTCGGGTTGCGGTGGAGACCCGACAACTAATCCCCTTTCATACTTCACGGGATCCTTGGCTACACAATTTCATTTACTTTTGACCATCAATTTTCGATTCTAACTTTTGACTATTAATTTTGAGATTAAAAAATCAAATTACTTGTAATCACGTTAGACCAGTCTGTTTTTTGTGAGACCTATAAGACCATTTTTTTTACATTTGAAACTTTACAACAAAACTATGTGAAGGTAACATTCATAGTGGTTTGCTGTGATGGTTCGACTTTTTTTTTTTTACCTTCATTACATTTTGCTGTGAAGTCTCAAATGAAAAAAATTATAATAAAAATTATTTTTTACTAATGCAAAAAAAAATCAATTTAATGGGAAAAAATTAATTGATGCAATTGGTTAGATATAAAAATCTTGAATGAGACATTTAATATTTATTTTTTATTGCATCAATTAATTCTTTTT